GTGTAAGTTCAAGAGGACGTGCAAGAAGGGAGGACCTTATTAAAGATGGGCAGAACCATGTCTTCTTTTTTCTCAAATCAGATTGAAGATGGTAGGTTATTCTTTGCTGATAGATGGTTTTCTGTGAGACAGATATGACATGATTTGCATCATCTGTATGGCTGCAATTATGTATGTTTTAAAGAGATTAGACAACTGTCCAATTTGTCTGAAATGGTCTAATGTCTCCTGCTTGAGCAGGGGGTTGATCTAGAAGACCTCCAAGGTCCCTTCCAACTCTTTATACTGTTAATTAAGATTTGGGAGAATACTTGTTAGCATTCCCACAATTGGCCCGTCAAAATGTATTTTCTCTTTATTTCCTTCTGCATTTCAGAGTTCCCTGATTGAGCGTTTTGGGCGGAAGCCTCTACTGTGGGGAGGATACGCTGCCATGGTGTTGGTGTTGGCTGCACTCACAGTAACTCTTTCATTCCAAGTAAGGGAGGTATTTTAGTGTCTGCTTCTGGCCATGGTAAGGTATAGCAAAATGAAAATGGGATGGATGGCTCCACCAGAAGGCATGTTGATTAAAAAAAAATAATAGATTGTATAGAGATGGACAGGCTAACGATGAAAATAAAAGACAGAGAAGATTCAATTTATTATAGGGCCTGGGATGCCTGGGATGAGTGGCTTAGAAATAAAAAGAAAATAAAATGGCAGTTAGGAAGAGAATGAGGGAATATGTAAATATACCACGGAGAAGATTGAGATGTAAGGATAAAAGATATTGATTTATAGTAAGAGTAAGATGTAATGGTAAAGGAATAAGTAAATACATATACTGAAAAATTTGAGTAAATGCAAAAGATGTCTTGAAGTTGATAACAATGTATAAAGTTTTGTTTTATGTTTTTTAAAATTTGGAAAATTTATAAAAAAAATATTTTAAAAAAGAAAGAAAATGGGATGGACGGCAAAATGAAGACCATTCAGATATGCTTTGTGGGCATATTTCAGGAGCCCCATTCTAGATCAAGAGGGCCAAATTTAATTAATCCAATTTGACACCTCAAATCTCCAACTGCCTTAGCAAAAGTCAGGAATCAGAGTGTGGTTGCTGTTACATTTAAAGGAGCCTTTTTTCCTTTCTAGCATCGCTTCTTTTGGATGCACTACTTGAGTGTCGTTTTCATCTTCCTCTTTGTCGTCTTCTATGGAATTGGACCTTGTGAGTATCTCCACCCTGGGCAGATTGCTGTACAGGCTTGGATGGGGAAGAACCATCTCCCACCCAAGATCGAACAGCCGTGGGGGGCCGGGGCCACCCAGACCTGCAGATATTCAGTCTTTCATCTTGAATGGAATTGCAGTCCCCTTTCAGGTGTGGTACACAATTTGGGGATCTTCCGGGACTCACAGCTCCAGCTCAAAAAGAGGTGGTAGCTATAGCCAGAAAGGTCTTTCCATAGTTTCCTCTGGCATGCTAGTTGTGCTCTTTCCTAGATCCAGGGGTGCTTCAGATAGTCACTGATGATCTGGTCACCTTTCAGCTTGACTACTGCAATGCAGTCTCTGTGGGGCTACACTTGAAGACTCCCCTGGAAATTCCAACTGGTCCAGAATACAGTGGCGCAGTGAACAAGCATGCTTCAAGACGCCCATATAACACCTCTGCTTCACGGGCTGTACTGATTGCCAGCTTGCTTCCTAGTGCAATTCACTACTTCTAAAGCCATACACTACTTAGGGCTTGGTTACTCGAGGGGCCGCCTGTCTCCCACAGTATCTGCGTAGCTATTTTGATCTGTTGGCACACTCCAGGTTCCGATGATTAAACATCATTTATCAGGACCACAGAATCTCACCTGCTCTGTACCAATCCTGGCCCTCTGGAATGAGGCTCTCCTTAAGATCCAGAAGGCCCACACTCCACTATTGTTTAGAGGAGCCATGAACCTGGCTCTTCACCCAGGTCTTTGGCAAGGAAGAGAGGGATCCTTTGCTTCATTTCCAGTCTATCATTCTTCCCATCTTGTATTTCTCCCCCCAAAATTGATTTTATTGTAATTTCCTTCTTTTGAATGTTGTAAGCAGCTTAATCACTGGGAGTCAGCTGGCATGCAAATTTGACAACTAAATAAATGAAGTTCGTGGTCAAGGACCTTATAACTCTGCTTTAAACAACCTGCTTTTCTGTTGTTAGTCACTGAATATCTGAGTTGTGTCCCTTAATCCTCCTCAGGGACAATGTTTTCTGGAATGATGAGTTCCTAGTAAGAGAATGCAATAAGGCTGCTCACTCAATTTCAGGAATGAAGAGCAGCAGGATCCCAAGATGACTTATTCTTGCTGCCCTCAGAAACACATCTATCCTCGCCTGGTCCATCCATAGCTACAAGAAAACCTTTCTCTTCGCTCTTCCCACAGCTGGAGGCCTCACATGAGCACTGACTCTGTCATATTAGGTATTCTTTCTCTCCCTCTTTGCTAGCTGGTGCCACAATATCAGTTATGGTGGAAATCTTCAATCAAACATACCGTCCATCTGCCTTTGTAATTGTGGGATTTATCAACTGGATGGGTCTCTTTCTGCTTGGGATGATCTTCCCATTCATTGTGGTAAGAGTAACTTGATTTGGCCAATGCACCAGAGTCACCAAAAGGACTGGATATGCACACTAGCTTAGCTGCACCATAATATGAAATAGAAAAACACAGGGCTTGTTTAATAAACTAGATCCATATTGTTTTTAAATTTAAACACTGAAGAAAGCAACACTGTGTGCCTTTTTTAGATTTTAATTTTCCTTTTTCTCTGTTTTCAGGAATATCTTGGTCCCTTCTGCTTTCTGATTTTTATAGGAATCCTGGCCGTTTCAAGTGTAATCATCTACTTATATCTTCCAGAAACAAAAGGAAAATCTATTCTCGAAATTACAATGGAGTTTAATAAGCTAAATTATGGAAAGAAACAAGTTTTTATCTCAGAAAATAGTTATCCAAAGGACACTGTACTTTGTACCAAACTTTAACTCTTGAACTGCAAAATCTCTGTATTTGGAGAACTGTACAGCACATAAAATTCACCAATCACAACACTACTGCATTTGTTCTGAAATTTTGCATAGCTTCAAAGAGCAAAATCCACCTCTTCACATTTGAAGGACATTTGGTGTGTCATATTGTACTCTGCACTGCAAACAAAGCCTGTCTTTTCAGTTCAGGGTGTGCTATGTGGCACGATAGACAGTCCCTGAATTCTCAGAATGAGTCCCCCTTTTCTTCTCCCATAAGAGGAGCTTGCGGTGGAAGTTCGTAAGAACTGACTGCCACGCGAGGACGGCATTCCAGCTCCCAATTCAAAGATTTCTAAAGGCTCTTGTGCCAGGCCCCCTTCAGGTGCTTCTTAGCCAGAAAGCTGAGATTGCGGTCAACATCTTTCTGGCACGGATCAGCGGTCCGCAGGGCTGTTTTGAGGGTTTTGGGAGTGAGGAGAAAGAGTAAAAAAAGCAGGTCAGTTTTCCCCGGGCCTAGTGTGGAAATGTTTTGAATCAGGAGCCCCAACAGATGCAAGTGAGGTGTGGAGGTGTTGGGGACTGGAGCCCCACCATGGGACACAGTGCCGGTCTGGCCAAATTTGGACAGAAGGAGTGGAAAAGTCTGCTTGTAGGAGCTGCAGAGAAGTTGGAAAGGGGAGATAATTTTGGGGCGCAGCCGTCTCTTCCTCTTCGGGGAGAGAATGGTTGCGGAGGCACCTCTGGGAGAAAGGGGAGGCCAGAGGGACGAGCTCCACCTCAGACCTCGGAGGGAGCTGCCGACAGGGAACCCCCTGGTTTTCACAGGTGGGGGGATTAGGCAGAAGTCCTGGGGGAGAAGCCCCAAGCCAGAGCTGCAAAAGGCGTCCAGGAGCATCCCCAGCTGTGGAGGGGCTTTAGAGTGCAGCACTATTTACAGCTGAGAGCCCGGCTGAAGCATCAACCAGGAGATGGCAAGTTCGAGTCCTGCCCAGCGCATAAAAGCCAGATGGGAGACGTTGGGGCACAGTCATCCGCTCCCAGCCCTGGGAAGCAGGAAACGGCCAGCCACTCCTGAAAACGCTTGGATAGAAGCGCATCTTCCGTCTTCCTTCCCCTCTTCCCTTCTGGAAGAAGTTTCCCCTCAGAAGAGACGGCTGTGGACATTCTCCATTTCCCCTCAGGGCCGCCTCCTCCTCCTCCTCTTCCCGCCTTTTCTTTGCTCCGCCTCCCGGCCCAGGGTTGGGGGAGGGGGGCGCAGCTCCGCCCATCGCGAGAGGGGATAAACGGGAGGGGGGGACGAGGAGGAGCCTCTGGAGGGGGGGGGCGTGCTCAGCGCCACAGCAGCAGCAGCAGCATCTGCCAGCATCCGCATCCCCGCCGCCGCCGCTCCTTCCTGCAGCCATGCCGGTCTTCGTCATCTCCACCAACGTCTCGCGGGACGCGCTGCCCGAGGGGCTGCTGGCCGAGCTCACCGAGGAGCTGGCCAAGGCCACGGGCAAGCCGGCGCAGGTGAGGGCCGGGCCGGGGGGGGGGCCCGAGGGGGGGGCTCTGGGCGCGGGATGAGCGCTCCCTCCCTCTTTCTCTCCCTCCCCCCGCAGTACGTCTCCGTGCAAGTGAACCCGGACCAGGTGATGTCCTTCGGGGGCTCCAGCGCGCCCTGCGCCGTATGCAGCCTCCACAGCATCGGCAAAATCAGCGCGCCGCAGAACAAGGCCTACAGCGCCATGCTGAGCGCGCTCCTGACCAAGCGCCTGCGCGTGCCCGCCGACAGGTAAGGGGCAGGGGCGGTGGGCGGGGCGGTGGGCGGAGCTCCCTCCGTCTCTCCCTCTCACGCGTTCCTGCTTTTTTTCTCTTCCCCCCCCCCCCTTGCAGGGTCTACATCAACTTCCACGACATGGCCCCGGCCAACGTGGGATGGAACGGCTCCACCTTCGCGTAGCAGCGGCGCCGGCGCCGGGAAGGGGCGGGGCTTGGGGGCGGGGCAATAAAGGCTTCTGAACAGTCCTTCTGACTCCGGCTGTCTTATTGGCGCGGGCGAAGGGCGGTGGGAGGGGGGGTGGCCTGGGCCCCCTCCAGCGTCATCAGAGCGCGCCGCCGGCAGGCATGGCGCTCTTCGTGGTTCCCAGGTGGGTCCGGCGTGCTATGGGATCCGCGTCGGGCTGGCTGGCTGGCTGGCTGACCGAACCGGCCCGTGGGGGGGGGAAAGGAGGAAGGGAGGCGGGCGGATTTCTTGGGCAAACGGTCGGGGCCTCTTGAGCCAACCTTGGCCGCTCGAAGCCCAGAATTCCCCAGCCAGCTTTGCTTCTGGGAGCTGAAAGTCCGCCGGGCTTGAAGTGGCCGAGGTTGGGGACCCGGTTCTTTGGAGGGTGGGGGCGTCTACCGACGGCGCTTCTTCGTTTGCTCGGGCGTCAAATGGAGCGCGGAAACAACAGGCCCCGTCAGAGGCCTCGCACGTGGGCCCTGAAGCGTCCCCGAGAGGCTTCAAGCGCCAAAGGTTGGAGACAATCCAAAAAAGGGGCACTGGGTGCGGCGGGCTCGAGAGGTCAAAGAGACAAAAAAGCAAGAAACGGGCAACGCTTTCAAAGTCTCCGGAATAACCGGGCCAAGGGGGGTTGGGGGTGCAAACGGTGTAAGCAAAAGCCCGAAGTCATGAAGCGAGTGAGCCTTAACGCAAAAGCCGTTCCTTAACGGAGGAGGCGATTGGCAGAGTAGGAATAATCGGATGTCCCGACTATTAATAATGTCTGGAACGGGGTTTTAAGAGGCTATTGCCCCTAGAGCGTCCTAAGAGGTGGTGAAATCTACGAGGGGCAAAATTTCCAGAGGTCGATTGCAAAAGGCCCCGCTGCCTGGATCCGTAGGTGTAATGTCCTCTTGCATTAGGATATTCAGGTGCAAATGAAGGCCATCCCCACCTGAAGAGCTGGCAGCTGCATGTCACGTATATAAGAGATCTTCCAAGCTATCTGATGAAGGATGGTTTGCACAAATGCTTCTCCCAGGGTTACAAAGCTTTAGGATAATCACCTGCCTCAGGGATAAAGGAATTGCAATCCTCCTCCCCAAAACTGAGGATGATGGGAGCTGTGGTTCACCCACAAGGTTACTGATACTATTGCTTGTCTTTTTTCTCCCAAGTTTTAAAATATTACACTCTTTCAACATGTTTATGTGATGGTTGTGATGTCACAGCACCGCCACCTGGAGTCACATGAGCACATTTGGAGCACTCTCCTCTGCAACTGCCTGCATTTACTGCTGTTTGCAGCTTGCAGACATCTGTGGTCACATGACTGCAGTTTATGACAGTTTTGCTGGAAACCAGTATATTCAGTTTTCCAGCAAAAACACTCCATAATGAACAATGGGTTTGGTTAACGACCACAGCATTTGCTTAATAACTGCTACAAAAGATGTGAAATTGGGTTCTGTCCCTTGGTAACCCACTTTACAACGGCATAATTTACAAACACAATTGCAGTCATGACTCAAGGACTACTTTATATATACAATACAGGTAGTCCTTGACTTACAGCCATTCATTTAGTGACTGTTCAAAATTACGAGGGATTTATAACACTTTTATTGTATCCATAACAATTTTTCACACTACCACTGCAGCATAGCTAGGGTCCTGTGATCAAAATGTGGATACTTGGCAACTGGCATGTATTTATGACAGTTGCAATATCCCAGGTCATCTCTTGTGACCTGATCAAAGTCGACAGGAAAGCCAAATTTAACTTGTAACAACTGCACTATACATTTAACTGTTGGGAAAAAAGGTCATAAAATGAGGCGTGGCTCAACTGTCTTGTTTGGCAGCAGAATTATGGCTTAATTGCGGTTGTAAATTGAGGACTACCTGTATTAATCATTCTCATACCATGGCAGGACTTGAGCAGCTTTTGATCTTGGGGCGCCAAGATGCCAGGATTTACCATCCTTCATTCTGGATGGGGTGGCACTGCCCCAGATAAACCTGGTGTGCAATCTAGGGGTCTTTCAGAATTCATGATTTGCTCAGCAGGAGGCAGTCACGGCTAGGAGGGCCTTTGCCTTCAGGTGCTATCATAGAACGTAAAATAATAGGGTTGGAAGGGACCTCTGCCCGTGGCAGGGTACCATTGTGCTCTAGCTGTGCCCATTCCTGGACCAGGAAGCCTCATACTGCCCTGGTCACCCCCTGTTGGACAACTATAATACATTCTGCATTGGGTTGTATTTGAAAAACAACTGGAAGCTTCAGGGGTGCAAAATGTGCGGGTATTTATGTGCACACTTCAATCTACTCAACGTCCTGCATTAGCTATCAGTTTCCTTCTGGATTTAGTTCAAAATGCTGATGGTGATCTATAAAGCTCTACTTAAGGTATTTTACCAGCCTTTTGAAAAATTCTCAAAATGTTTAAACTATCAGTAGTCAAAAATTAAAGTGCCAGTTTGGAAAAACAAATATACTAATCAGTGTAATGCTGTTATCTGTTTTTTAATTATGCCTGAGTCTCTGATTTAACTCTCTCCACATTTTTGGATCTTGTACAGCTTCTTTCAGTTGTTTATACCCTGGCTGGCAGTAGCTTTTGGCAGCCTCGTTTTCTTTTACCACTGATCATTCTGAGCATAACTGCATAACTATCTAATAAGTAACTAATGGAACAAGGAAACTCTTCAGTTAAGATTCTGTCTCAGAAAATTCTTTTTGCTTGAAATCAGTAGCCTTAAAAGTAGCATACACTGCTTTAAAACAAAAGCAAACATGAAAACGGAGGGAAGGTAGCTAAAAAGTTGAATATTCAACTGAACATTAAAGATACTACTTGGTCCTTTCCTCCCATCAAACCACCAAGGATGAATAACTTGTGCATATGTTAAAATGACTTTCCTTGGAAAATCCCCAGGTATGTTAGTGATGAAGAGGATAATCCAGAATGTAAGTCCCAGTTGCTCTTACATCGGCTGCAGGAGCAAGCAAAGACTCGGCAGCTGCAAAAACAGGAACAGAACTGGCCCACTTCTGGGCAACGAAAGAGATTGGCGCCTGGAGCCCCTGAAGAAGAGACCAACGAGGAATTAAAGCAAACAAGCAAAAAGAAGAAAGTAAGTCAGGAATCTCTTTCAGCCCAAAGTCACAGAGAAAAGGAGCCAAGACGACATACTTTTGGGGCAGAAAGTTTGCCCGAGAAAGATGGCTCAAGCAAACGTAAGAAGAATGGTGGGAATTCTAGAACACCTCAAGGAAAGACAGAAGCAGTTCAAGGTAAAACAAATTTTGGTTTTGATTGGGTCCTTCTGGGAGCTGTATTCGAGCAGGTTTCATTTGGATACCAGTCACAGTATTGAAGGACTGTTAATCTTTAGAGCTGTTTTTTCAGACTGTTGAGCAGAGCACTCATTCCGTAGTTGCAGTTTCCCTAAGACAAATGCAACAAACTTTGTGAGTCTGGGGTTTTACTTTTCTTAGCACAATCTACACTCACTCGTTTTGTTCAGTGAATTATTTTCTTCCCTTCTTGCTTGCATCATGTGGCTGTTAATGCAGGCATCTCATTGGAATCAATATTTCTGTTACCAACAGACTGAAAAACCCAAGTCAGCACAAAGTAGACTACCTGTGCAATTCTTTCTTTAGCTTTTTGGTTTGGTACTTTTTGAAAAGGGTACTTGACAGTCCACCGTCAGGTCCAGCAGGAAGGGCACATTGCAGGACCTGTCCGTCATCTGATGGGGTCCAGGAGGAGAGCCTTTTGTGTTTTGGCACCCAACCACCCACCCAACATCATTCCCCCTGAGGTCAGACTGACCTTACCGGCCTTCTAGAAAACCTGAGCTTTGCCATCTGGCAGGGGGAGTTGCAGAACTGCAAAAGGGGAATACTACTAGTGAGTTTGGGTGTGCCTGCTCACGGATTATTATTATTTTTTAAATAGTTTGAATTGCCTTCCTTGTTATATTTTGGTTGTCCTTGTTTGTGCTTTTTTATTCTGCAAGCTGCCCAGAGTCACATATGTGAGATGGGTGCCTGTAGAAATTGCACAAACGAACTAATACTATTAGAAAATACCATTTCTTATATTATTACAAAACGTTGTCTACCTAGAGCCTTTTTCTGCCTGAAAACACACACCCTAAGATCAGCCACTTCCTTCCATAAAATGTTTCTTGAACACCAAGTTATTTGTGTTATGTCTGTCCCTTTTATCAGGAGATGAAGGTATGTTGGAGACTCATCCGGAAAGTCGAGCTACCCCAGAAGAAGAAGGTATGGGAGGTTTTGGAGACAAAGAGAGCCAAGCCAGTAAGGATCAGAGGATGCAGGCATCAAATCCAAGGACAGCTTCTTCACCTTCCAGCATGATTGTCCTTGGTCCTTCTGATCAAAGGAATCTGCACAAGGTAACATGATGGTTAACCAACATCAAATCAAACCTTTACTATGGCCAGGGTCCAAAAGGAGTTTGGGGTGCAGTCAATTTAAAAGTCCAAAAACTACTTCAGTCTAAAACTGCAAGCAAAAGCCAGCCCAAAACACTTATCAGCTCCCCCAGAAGGAGAAGGAACCCACACACACCCCCACTCCCAAACTACACCTAGCCATTTCATTGAGAAAGTCTTCTCCTCACCAAGGCTCCTGGCTGGCAGTTCCTGCCACACTTATTTAATGAAAACTCTGCCTTTTTAATTTGCAGGGCCGCTGCCTCCTTGGCCCCGGTTTAAGGCAGATTGTTTGAGCGTTGGAGAAGAACAGAAACCTTGACGGGAGCTATTGAGAGGGTGGGTGGGGCTTCCCTTCGTGGGTGGGTGGGTCCAGAGCAGAGGCTTCTAGGGATTCCTGCCTAGGTTGGGCTCTCAAGAAGGTGAGGGCTCTGCGTTTAACTTCCAGGTGCCGCCTTTTGTGCCACGGTGGTTCAGCCAGCCGCAGCAGTTCCAGAGGCAGATCCGAGAGAACCTCGTCCCTCTCCAGGATGTTCCAGTCATTCACCCTAAGCTGAGAAAGAAGCTGCTAGCCAATGGAATAGCCTCTCTCTTCCCAGGTATCACAAGCAGGAGGAGAGCCGGCCACATATTTCTGAAGTTCATTTGCCAAGTTTTCATATTGGAAATGATGTAGTAATAAAACGCTACTTTCACTTTTTGTACGTTAAACGTTAGCAGACAACCTTGGGGGGATAGTAGTTTTGATCAACTAATGTTTTTGCTTTAAGCCTATTGTTTTTGGTGAGTCCTCTTTGAGGCCGCTGGAATGAGTGGTGTGGGGGCCTAAAGGATAAGTCGCTCACCTCCCATTCCAAAATTTGAGAGCTGAATCCAAGTTAGTGGCAGGTATTTCTGCCTCAGAAAAAAAAAATATCTGCGGTGAACACGGTGTGGCATCAGGAAGGGCAACCAGCCGGAAAATGCTCAGTTCCATTCAATCACCCCAACTCTGCTCCCAACTAAGGGACTACAGGGTCGTAAAGAGGCAGTTTATTTAAGGCCACTATAGCCTTCTTTTGATATTTAATTTGAAACCGTTATTATGCAGGGCACTTGCTACAGAACTCAAGAAATGTATTGTTATGTGGAGCAAATCTTTGAGCTAAATTAGAATTACCTAAAAAATAGACACAGACATGGACAGATGCCTCTCTGGTACCTCTTTGTTCTTCAACCTTCTGCCAACATTCATGAATCCGTTTTCCTGTGAATGAGGAAGGAGGCGCTCTCTTTGTGTCATAGAGGCTCTTGCCAAAGAAGCTCACAGTAAACACCCAAACGAACCTCCAAGACCATCCTCACCAATACTGACAGGGCAATCCACTAGAACATCAACTAAGAGCAGACCCCACTCCTTACGGATGATGTTACCTATGGGTAATGAAACGTTTGCAAGAATGCAACCAAGCTCAGAGAGCACCAAGGACCTGCCAGGATTTCAAGTAACATGCGTATAGCAAACAGCACTCTGAGGCAAGCTGGTTCCTCAAATATCCGTTTTTATTGGACATACCTTAATGGCATAGGCTGATGAAAACTGACTCTGCAGTTTTCATCTAATTAAAAGTTTCCCTCCCCTTTCCAAACAGTCACATGGCCCAGTCAAGGTGTCATCCGGTTGCCTGGTTGACTTCACTCATCCTTCTTCCAGCCATCGGTGGGAATGTCCTTGGTTCCCAGGAGAAAGTATTTTGTTTTGGCTACAAAACCCCAGCTATCTGTCTCTATTCCACACTCCCTATCCCTCAGCTCCAGTCTGGCAACATTAAAGCCTCAAAATGGCCTCAGTCGGGTCAGCTTCAAGGTTGACCGGACCCCTAGGTGCCTTCTGCCAATCCATCTGCCCCGCTTCTTCCTCCTCATTTCCTTATTCTGTCTAAAGAGTAGAATTTGCCCAAGAGCTCCATGGAGGTTGAGGAGAGGCCCAATTCCCTTGCCTCCTTCCCTTGAGAACAATAACGAGAGGATGGAGCTCAGCTTTCAAGGAAGCCTCATTCAGATGCAAAGCACGGACGTTTACTCTTGTCTCCACATCTCTTCTTCCGCCTTTTCATTGCTACATTAGTGGTAAACCGTTGTTTTCCTCATCTGGAAGCACAAGTAGGGGGTTGGCCCACAAGAGGAAGCGGGCAAAGATTCATGGCCTGCTGGAGTACCATTTTTTAATTAAAGGAGACTAAGTGCTGCTCAAAGCCATTGGACATCTGATAGAAGAGAACATTTTTAGCTCAGGATGGAACTGTGGGACCCACTGATGATGTTACCTAGTTTGGCAATGAAACGTCTGCAAAGAAACCATCAAGCTCAGAGAGCGCCAAGGACCCTCCACCAGGTGTTCTGTTGAGTGCTGTTATTACCTGTGGCAAACACCTAAAGGTTTTCTTCATATCAATGGACGTTTGAGACATGTTACCTTTCCCCCACACCCCCTGTTTTGTGTGAAGCTCTTCTCAAGCATTCTCTTGGGTGGCAACCCACTAACGCTTCCCGCTCTCCTCTTCAGTTCAGGCTGAAGTGATTCCAGCCATCTTGGATTGTGGGCCCAATGGGGCTTTGGCTGGCAGGGGTGGCTACCCCCCAAGCGACATCTGCGTTTCAGCCCCCACCGGCAGCGGCAAGACTTTGGCCTTCATCATTCCGGTGGTGCAGGTGAGCTTCAGGTGGAATCGAGCACTGCCGGTTGTATCTGGGGGTGTGCAGGGGATCATCCAGAACCAAAGCCCCCACTCACCCCCGCCCCCCTGTACGATACCCCAGAGAGGATCAGTGGAAGCATCCAGGGAGACCTGGATTCCTGCATTTTGAGTATTTACTCCAATTGCAAAGATTGGATTTTCTTGCCTTAAAACTGAAAGCTTTGTAGTGAGTTTTAAGTAGCTTCGAAAGAGGAAATAGAAGAATTAGAGTGAAAGGAGTGTAGGTCATCTGAAGGGACAACAGCAACTGATAATTGCGGTCAGTGCTCTGGGAACTCTCAGCCCGTGTTCCGGCGGGTGGGTGTTTCTCTGTACAGGGAGGTGTATTGGGGACACTTATTTGGGAGGATGTAGCAAAACTCTTAACATTGTGTCTGACCTCCTGTTTTTGTTTTGGCAGGCCCTGTTGGACCGCGTCGTCTGCCATGTACGGGCTCTGGCAGTCTTGCCCACCAAAGAGCTGGCCCAGCAGGTATCATCTGAAGGGGACGGGGAGGTCTTTGTGGCTCCTATTTTCCCCTTCACACACAGCTTGAGAACAGTCCTGAGTATCAATACAAGAAAATGAAGGAGTTGCTACAACCCTCTGCTCACACTCCTTTGTTGCATCTGCACAAGAGCCTCATAAAATTGGCAGACAGACTTGTGGCTCGTCATGTTTGCTATGAATTTTGTTAGAGCCCCGAGAGCCACTTGCCGGGTGACCCGAGCGTAGTGGGAGGTGCCACAGTTGTTACTGATGCTCCAGCAGAAGAGACGATGAGGAGCTCAGGCTGGAACACTGAAGGTTTTGGTGCTCTCTGAGCTTGTTGATCTCTTCCAGATGTTTCATTACCAGGCTAGGCAATGCCGTTAAGAAGTTTCTACGAGATCAGTAACTATTATTTGTTTTTAATAACGCTTTAAAAAATAAATGCAATAAATATTCATTTTTAGCCAAAAACAATTAAGATTACAATCAAGATGTTCCTAGAGCAGTGGTCTGCGAGAAAATTTTGGTGGTCCACAGAGAAATGTCACCCCCAGAGCACCCCCCCCAAAGCAATTAATCCAGGCTGTGCAGAACACAAGGCTGCGCCACCCACATGGCCCATGGGAACCCTCTCCCTCCTTACCTGGCAAACTTGCCTGCTAAGTTGCTATTTTTCTTTTTTATTTCCCGACCATCAGCTGTTCTGCTGTGCCGGGAGATTTAGATTAGCTAGAAAGCAGGAAACCGTTGGATTTCTTGCTTTCTAGCTAATCTTTAGATCTTTGGCACTGCTTTTAAGCAGAGCGGAATTTTCCTTAGGACTGAAGCTTCTATTATTCAGGTTCAGGTAGCCGATGGCAGAAAGATAGATCTCTGAATGAATGTGTGAGCAACTCAATCTGTGAGCAACTCAATCTGCCTGCCTGCTTTGCCTGATTTTGGGTAAAAGTTGCTCTTTTTTAAATAGTAATTTAAATATTTACGTAAATATAATATTTACATACAAGCCATGCCCAGCCAGTCACATGACCACCAAACCACACCCACAAATTAGGCCACACCCACAGAACCAGTTAAGAAATTTGAATTCCACCCCTGCCTCTGTGTGTTTGTGTGTGGGGGGGACGGAGGGAGAGAGAAAAAGAGATTAGATCGGATATCTCTCTCTCTCTCCCTCTCTCTCTCTCTCTCTCCCTCCCTCCCTCTCTCCCTCCCTCCCTCTCTCCCTCTCCCACCAACGTCAGCAAGCCACCGTCAGTCAAAATTTATATTAATGGTCCACAGGATTTAAAATTGTGAGTTTGGTGGTCCCTGAGGTCCAACAGGTTGGCAACCGCTGTCCTAGAGAGCTCGATCCATTCCTGGCAGGCCTTCCTTTATTTCTTACAAAAGGCTTTTTTGCAGGGTCAGGGGAGCCTCCCTTGGAGAGAATCCCACCACAGAATCTCCCGATAAGAAGTCCCTGCTTTAGCTGCCTCAGTGTCAACCCCCAGGGGAGGCGTTATAACCTGGGCTCCCAGGTGACTTTGAGGCACGCAGCCTCAAGCACAGTGTGCAGAATAACAGCAGCTCTTCTGGCGGCCAGGAAACCTAATGGGAGATGGGGCCAGATGACCTCTCTGTAGAACCTTTGGGTGTTCCTAATTTTGGGGATCCTTCTAACGAAGGATAGGTTGGAAAATAGAAGTTGAGGAGATGCCGCTCTGTTTACTGTTTTCCTTCCCTCCCAGACGTTCACACGCTCATGTTCTGTTCCTCTCTTTTTCAACATTGACTTCTTTTGATAGGTGGCTAAAATATTCAACATTTACACTGATGGGACTGGGCTGAAAGTTGTCCAGGTTACTGGACAGAAATCTTTTGTGAAAGAACAAGAGTCCCTTGTCGAGACAACGTAAGTCCTGACCTCCTGGGCCTTTGCATTCATTTAATCGTGCTGCCTCGACTTGTTAGCTTTGAAACAGGAGAGATGAAATTTGTCACCATCCTAACTAAGAAAGACTCAACTGCAGCAGCTTTTCTGACCCGGAAAAGAGGATTGGCTGGGAGGGGCAGCTAAAGTCCAAGTCTGCTGCATATCTGCATTTGTGAATCTTTCATCCCGACATGACCTTGCGTACGCTGTGGCTTGACCTTGGTTGTCCTGTTAGATGATGTGTGGTGCAGCCTCCGGGCTGGTTGTCCTGTCAGTTTCCCATTTGCTCGAGGCTTTCTGGTTCCCAGAAAAAGTTGGAAAAACAGTCAAAAGCCTGGGATGAATCAACTTGTGGAAGGGACCCAAAGCGGCATTCCCACGGGTGCTGCTACTAATTGCTCCGCCTTGTTGTTGTTTTTGGGCAGGCTGACGGGACATCGTAGCCTGGCAGACATTGTGGTAGCCACCCCAGGACGCCTGGTAGACCACCTGCAGCAGAGCCCCCAGTTCAGCTTGCGAGAGCTTCGTTTCCTGGTGAGGAAAACCAAAACCGTGTCTTTGGGCAGCCATTGCGAGAACATCAGAATTCCTCCTGTGTCCCAAAAGGTTTTCAGGTTTACTTCTGCAAATTCTAGCATGGAATTCATGAGGTCAGCATATTTCTGCTGGCCTTTGCCTTTGATTGGGCCTGCAGATTGGGAGCAGGGGAGATGGCTGCCTAGCTGGGCTCTTGTTAGTTCAGTGAGCTTTCCGGCAGGAGCAGCTGTCGCTGGAATAACAAGCTTATGCATCACAAGCTTTTTGCCCAAAAGATCCTGCCCCTCCCTTTTCCTCCCCACAAGAACGAGCCACCAGCCCAGCCTAAGTTCTCGGCAAGACACGCTCACCGTGGTTTCCAGCCTGCCAGAGCAGAGTCCCATGTCCCAATGGGTTCCCCTTCCCCTCTTATTTCTGAGGGCAGATCATGGATGAAGCAGATCGCATGATTGACAACATGCAGCAGGATTGGCTCCAGCAAGTCGTAGAGGCTGTGCACCGGCCTGAAAGGGGCTCCGGTCCCGGCGGGCTGTTCAGAAGGGTGCAGCCAGGTCCCTGCACGGCAGCCAGGTAAGCGGTTTCTGCGGAGAGTCTGCATGCGCCACAGAGACCCCCTTGGGAGGAGAGGGGGACCGCGCCTCTCAAAAGAACCAACCGGGAGGATGGTGGACAAACCAAGAGGGCGGCTGGCTTTCCAGGAGGAAGGTTCTCCCTTCCCTGTTCTCCCTTTCCAGGGCTTGCTCCCCCCAGCTCCCTCTGCAGAGGCTCCTCTTCTCAGCCACTCTGACCCAGAACCCCGAGAAGCTGCAGCGGTTGGGCCTCTACCAGCCTCGCCTCTTCGCGCCGGTTCAGTCTGGGAAAGGGAGCGACGGGCTTGGCTCTCAGTCGTGCGTCAGCGAAAAGTACATTCTCCCCGAGGGGCTCTCCGTAAGTGTCCTCTTCCCCGGATCTTGTTTGTAAGTTTTGTGCCTTTGCCCAGGAAAATAGGTTTATTTGCTTAATCCTGTCACAGTGTAGCCATCCTCGAGGTAGTTACTCCAGGATGCCCCCAAAAGGCATCTAATAGGGCGGGAACTAGAAGCATCTCTTTCTCTGGTTTTGGAGACCAGACGGCTCTGTTTTCCAGCTTGGAAGGCGGAATAGATGCCTCATCAGCTGTTGCAAGAGTGGTAAACAAACGGGTGATTCATAAAAGAATTCAGTCACTAAATAGGCATTGGAAGCCTATTGCTGTAAAAAAAACAGGAAGCGGAACTTTTATCCCCTGTGGCTGCTGGGCCGGCCTGGAAAAGCTCTTCAGAATATTCTGCCCCCGAGTGAGGTGGCCTCGAGCGAGCCAGACTCCCAGGGCAAATGCTGCCTTTCCTTCTCTCTCTAGCATTATTACGTCCCTTGCAGCCTGAGTTGGAAACCGCTGTTCCTCCTGCATTTCCTGGTGAGACTGAAGTTCACCCAAGTGCTCTGCTTCACCAACAGCAAGGAAACCTCGCACAGGTGAGGTTTCCTGGCAGAGCTGAACTCGGATCAGGCCCCGGGCTGTGGGTCCCCGGTTCCTGTTGCCTGATCTGGGTGGCAAACAGCTCCATGGGGTTTGCAGCAGGGATCTCGATCAGCTGTACTGATCCCCCTCGCGCAAAAGCAGCCCTATCTTCCACACAGCTGGTCCCCCTCGCCCCCAACTGTCACTTCGGTCTTTCCTCAGACTCTTCCTGCTAATTCAGGCCTTTGGTGGAGTGAAGGTCGCTGAGTTTTCTTCAAAGCTGAGCCCGAGCAAAAGGAAGGTGACCCTGAAGGAGTTTGAGCAAGGCAAGATCCAGCTGTGAGTGTCTCCAGGTATCCCCAAATGCTGTTCCTGTCTGCACCAGGGCCTCTTTGCATCAGGAGTTAGAGGCTGGGACACTAACCAGGGCGGGCGCCTCTCTTTGAAGGCCTCCAACAGTGAGGTCTTCTCCACCAGATTTGCGAGCAACTCTTGTCAACTTCCCTTGGCAATATAGTCCGCTCTTATGCTACGTATTTTTGATTATAATTTCTAACACTCAGATTTACCCATCAGTGCTTTGGCTAGCACAGCTGGATATATATATATATTTTTAGTGCCTTCAAGTCAGCCTGGACCAATGCCTGCAGTTTCCTTGGCAAGATTTGAGGGCTGGTTTGCCATTGCCTCCTCCCTAAGGGTGAGAGAGAGTGACTGGCCCAAGGTCTCCCAGCTGGCTTTGTGCCCAAAGTGAGACCAAAACTGACCGTCTCTTGGTTCTAGCCCTTGCCAATCTACCAAACTGGCCCTCACAGCTGGAGTCTGGACACGCTGGAATTATTTGTGTCCTGTTAATTGCCTTGTGTTTTCTTCTGGGACAGTTTAATCAGCACAGATGCCACGGCTCGAGGGATTGATTTTGGTGGCGTGAAGTGTGTCATTAGCTACGATGCCCCTCAGTTCATCAGGACCTACATTCACCGGTACTTTTCTCAGAGGAACGTGGGGGTGGGGGAGGAGGCCCTCTGGAAATGGTGTCGGGGAATCTGATCTCTTCCCTGGAAGCCCCAAGTTTCCCTTTGGGTTTTAGGGAAGGCCGATTGGGGGAAAAGGGTTGTTCATCTCCTCACCAGGCGCCTTTTGCATTTAGGGTGGGCAGAACAGCTCGTGCTGGGAAGGCGGGCCTGGCTTTTAGCCTGCTCCTCAAGCGGCAGGTAGGTGGCCTCGTCCCGCCCTGGGGAAACCTCCCTCAGAACGTGTTCGCAGCCCCTGGGGGCGGCAGGGCATGTACTCCGTGCCGCTTAAGAGTGGCATATTTCAGTGGCACATTCAAGGGTGGCTCAGCAGAAGGCCCTGAGGTCTGGGCACCCGCTGGTACCTCTTTAGGAGGCTAGGTGCGCTTCCGCTGGACCTGCGAGTTGCTGGAGGAGGCCACCGTGGCCGCAGGGTGGAGAAGTAGTGACGTTAGGCCCGCTTTCCTTCCCTAGGAGCATAGGTTCCTGAAGATGCTGAAGGATGCGGGTCTTCCAGAGTTGGAGCCGCAGCTGGTCAAGAGCAGCTCCCTCCAGCCTCTCCTCCAGCAGTACGAAGCAGCCCTGGCCGAACTTGCACAGACTGTCAAGGTACCCTGGCTTGTAGAGGGAGGGAGGAAGCCGCCGACTCGGAGGGGTCCCTGGTATAAACATTCACGCAGCTGGACAGCTAGCAGACGTCCCTCTGCCTTTAGAGGCAGATTCTGTGTGCCAGTGATGGAAAAGCTTCATTTTCGTTCTTCAGATCTGTCACTGAGGCAGTTCGCATGCAATGCAAAACAAGGGACCAATTAGCAGGGTGCTGAGCCCAGCCTTGTTGGTCGCAGCCGTGGACTTCTCTTATAAGCAAGCGTCGTTAGCAAGCCAAGAATGCCCCCTGCATGGGTTGATCAGCGTGTGGCCAGCACTAGGGGTTTGGGGTTGATAATTGACTGAACCAACGGGATGCACAATTTGCCTGGTTTGTTCGTGGGACGGGCCTTGGTAGCCGTGATCACTGTGGGAGCGTTGTAACGGCTGCTCCTACCAGAGACGTCTCCTAGTGTGGCGCTTGGCCTGCGCTTGTTCTGGCGCTGACCCGCTTTCTGAAGTTCCGTGTGGGAAAAAGACGAGAGGCAGCTGAGTTTTTCTCCACTGGGAGAAAAAGCGGTGCCTGGGCACAAGGGCTGGCTCTGATCCAGGCACAGCTTTGAACCCTTTGCTCCCGTTTCTCGGGGTGGTTTAGCCAGAGCAGAAGTGGAACTGGCTGCTCTTGTCTCTCCGGGAAGCCTGGAGAACTTCAGTTCTTCCACAGCGGAGGAGGGATAACGGTCCAAACTGCTGTTCCAAGTGCCGAATGAATTCAATAGGCGTAACCTCCTTTCTCTTTCAACAGGAGGAGCAGGTTGGAAAGCGATCTTAAGGCAAAACGCTTCATGGATACACACCAAGGTGCTGCAAACCAGCAGAACTGGAACTCTGCCCCACCCTCTTGAGGGACCAATGCCCGGAAGCAGATATTCGTGAAAAGCAACTTGAGGAACAAAGTAGGAGTGAAGGGACACAGCCTGCTCTCACTGCGAAGCAAGAAGAATAATTCTCAGCTCTCCAAAACAGTTTAAGAGAAGCCGCTCTGGGGCAGAAGACTTCAGCCTTTGCCAGCGCAGGGCCACTTTCACGAGCAACCCTGAACAAGGGCGCAGTGGCACCGATTAATCTTTGAAATGACTGAATTGCCTCCCCAAAATGTGGCAAACCAGTTGTGCCTAAGATGTCCTTGTTGGTGAAATAACACTGATGCTAATTGATTATATCCGGTCTGTTTCTAGCTATGTCTCCGTTACCAAAATGACACAGTTTGAGCGCGTGCATTCTGCTCAGCTGTGCAGCGGCCCTTCGGGTTCAAGGGAGACATGTTGTGGTACAGATCTTGTGCGGACACGGAAGTTGCTCTGCGGTCCCAATGGAAGCAGCCTAGTGCAGCCAGGGACGCTGTTGTAACTGGAGGTGCGATTCTGCGATGTAGTTCGCTGCTTTTCTGTCAGGTTTCCATGTTGTCTGTCTTCAAAGTCAGTGGAGGCTTTGTGGCTCAGAGCTCCCTAGCAGCTTAGGTCAGAAGCGGCCGCCTCTCGTTCCCGTGGCTGGATGTCCCAGGGCTCAGGGTTTCTTGCACGGCCTTTTCGTAGCCCTCATGTGCTGGACCTTCCCGGATTCCAGTGCCCTGTAGAACAACAGGCAAGGCCGTCCATTCTGATGCCATGGCCCCCACCTCACCTGAAGGGACTCAATGCTGGTGGACTCTACATAATCCAAGACCTGCAGGCCTGGTCAACAAACGCCAAGATTGACCCAAGACGTGCATGTGGCGTTTCTATTTCTTCATTTATTAAGCCTCTGCTTAAAGTCAACGTGGTGACTCAGGGCATGGCACAGAGATAACACAGCCGGCAGTTCAAACTGCCGCTTTATTGCTCCAAATATCCCCCAATGCTCCCATGTCTCTGGCAAGTCCCAGAGCAAGCGATGACAAACACCCGTACAGACCTCAAGCAGCCTCTGGCTGCAAATAGTCCAGCCCAGCACTTGTACACCATGATGCACAGAGCAATAAATTCAGTAGGGCGAATCAAGGAATTCGGGAAGCAAAGGGAGTCAGGTAATTAGTCCAGGAAGCCGGAAAGAATTCAAGGAATCCAGGAAAGTTTCAAACTCAACGCTTCAGGAATTCAGTGTTTGTTCCCAACAAAATGCCCCCCCCACCCCCGAGTCTCCAGTTCCCAGGTGTGCCTTCAGAAGAGGGGCGGGGTGTTCTCCTCCCAAGTAGCCTGCTCCATCTGCACTCTTCTCACCTTCACTCCGTGCTTGGATCAGGAGGGGGGTGGTCCTTGCTGCCCATCTCCCCCATAAGGCAACTTTGAACGGCTTACAGATTATAAAAAAAATAAATAGAAACGTAATTAAAATATTCAAATTTTAAAACTATGCCAAAACCAGTATTTAGAGATGGCATGGGGATGAGGTCTTGCCTTGTCAACTATCTCCAGGCATCAGCCCGCTCCCTCTGGGCCACCTTATTACGGGAGTTAGCAGTGGACTGCTGCCAGTTCGGACTGGCTCGCCCATACCGGTTGTTCTGACCACCTGCCCCGGTGCTATCCTGTCCGATGTATCCAGCTCGCTTGCCCTGCCCATGCAGCCCAGATGATTCCTGCTACTCCCTGGCTGCCACACGCAGGAAATCCCCGCGTTCTTGCAGCCCTGTGCATGCCCACATTTCCAGTTCTGCATTCAGCAAGCCAGTTGTCACAGTATGCGCGGCCCATCTCTGTACGGCAGGCTCAAAGCCTGTTCAGATCTTCACAACCTCCAGGCGATGTTACAAGGTGTTTTGGTTTTTTTAAAACTATAAATAATCTTATTGATCCAGAGTCAATAAAAATGCAAGAAACTGGAAACGTTCGCGTTTTAACGCTAAACTCACCAATGCCTCCCATCTTGTGATCTCCTCATGAGGAGCAGCCACCTGGAGCACTTGTGGGCAATCTCAGTTCCTCTCCTTGTCTGGCACCCCATCACTTTTAGCGGAGCCGCCTTTTTTATTCTTCTAATGTTTCTTTAATCTCTTATTTTTCTCCATCTTTTTTTTTTTAGTTCATATTCGTTTTTAGACTTGCAAATTGTAATCTTTAATAAAATTGTATCACTTCCATTTAACAATTTTTCACCATTTTTCCACTTCAAACGATTTGCCGAGATCTTACTAAGTCTTCCATTCGATGGAAGCCTATTAACCGAAATCCAGTATGGTGTGATGAGAAATACTCAATTCGTATTTTATTTTATCGTAACGTCCGTTGTGAACCGGAGCTTCAGGTGTGTGCATTTATAAGGCGAACTAAGCGCTGGCACTCCCAAACAGCCCATGATATTTGCTACAACCAAGAAATCTCGTAACACCCCCTAGAGTTGACACACACACACCCATTCTTAAGCTCACAGTGGGTCATTGTAGGCTGCTTTCCCCGGACTTCCTTCTCCTCACCCCTGTCGCTTCTCCCTTGTCCCCACGAGAGTTTTGCTTTTGCTTTTGCTTTTTCCAACAGAAGAAGTTGCTGCCTTGCCCCTAAGGGCGGAACCTGGCCTGGCCTGGCTCCCAGTTTTCAGCTCTTTGCCCTGTTCTCCCTCCTGGGAGAGCCTCTCGCGGAAGGCGGCATGGGAGCACCGGCCTCCCTTCTGTAGTCTTCAGCCGCTCCATCCATCCAGCTGGTGGAAGAATATGGGGCTGGAGCTTTACCTGGACCTTCTGTCCCAGCCCTGCCGGGCTGTCTACCTCTTTGCCAAGAAGAACCGCATCGCCTTTGAGCTGAAAAACGTGGAGCTGTTCAAAGGTGAGGAGAGCCCCACACAGGCGCCTATCTGGGGAGGGGCTGTCTCAGCTGGCGGGGTGGGAACAGAGACGGAGCTGCCTTCAGGGGGACCCCTCTGGCTCTCTCTGGCCAGTGGTTGGGTGGGCCCTGCCTTGTTCGTTGGGTTTCATGGGGCCCAACAGAAACGGGAGGGGACTCTGCCGCGGGGTGATAGGAGAGGGGGCGCGGGGGGGGGGGCAAACTGGAGGAAAGATCTTGCGCTGGAAAGCTTTTGTTACGCAGGTGCCTTCTTCCTCTTGCCAGATTCCATCCTGGGGACTAAGGTGCCTGGAGCAGAGGCGGAAGGGGGGGCAACGCACCCATCGGGTAAGCGGAGCGCAGGCTTTACATGAATGGGGAAACGAGGTACGGTCTGCAGGTGCAGAGACGGGAGGGGGGGCTGTCCTGTGGTTTGGCACCCTCCGATTAGTTTTCCCCAAATGGGTGGAACGAATTTCAGTTGGGTCCCCAGCAGGACTGTGAAGTGGGATGCCTCTTGACTTCTCAGCAGCGGAGAGGACGACCTGAGGGCTGCCGCTGAGCACCTGCTCACAAGGTGTAACATTGTTAGGGATCTTCCCCTGCTGAGTTGCCTTAACCATCAAGAATCCAGTGAGATCTTCCCACTGGCAGCCGTTGGAAATGCCTGCCGCTGTTTTCCTCCTTTGGGGCTTCAGGTGCGCGTGGCGTGTCCCAACAGAGCCAGGATGACGCATTGGGGAAAGGATGGGGGCGTAAGTAAGCGCCAGGCCCCCAACCATTTCACTGAAAGCTCTCTCGCAGCAGTGCAGAGTTCCCTGTTTGCTATGTAAATACAACTTGGAAGGGTCCAAAGGGCCATTTGAAGTTGCAAAGAGAGCTCTCGTCTGCACCCAAACTGGTTGGGGTTCTTCTGCTGATAAGATAAGCAACCTGATTCTTGTACTTTGGCTCCGTGGCCGCTCGAAGCACCTTTGAGTGTCGTATTCAGTACAGTCTTTCTGTAACTAATCCCAGTCCAGGGCTATCTGGGTCTCTTGTGACCTGGCAGCTTACAAAAAGGTCTTCATCGTCTTTGCGTTGGAGAGTTTAGAGATGCACAGAAATAAATGTCAACATTCATTATTCATTTTCCAAAGTAAACCTTCAATGGTTTCCTCATTCCCATCTTGCTTACCTGCCCTCTCAAAGTCAGCTTGGGTTCCCCCCCCCCCAAAAAAAACCCCTGAGGCAGGACAACCCCTCCATACCTGGACCTTGTTCTATGTGGTGGTTTCCACATCCCTCCCTGTCCCATAACTCCCAACAAGTTTGATGGGTCCCAGAGTGGGCCCCTGTTCTCATCCCAGTTCCCACGGAATTCCTCTTATGGAGCCTTCATTCTGGCATTTTCCCACATGCTGCCATCCCCAGAACAAACCTTCCCGTTTAGCCATGAGAAGTAGGAGTGTGAGGTAGCTACGGTATGAAGCCTGGAATACGATGCTGTGCTCCCTTCTGTAGCTTAAAAGTTGTGAGTTGACAGCTGTCTGTGCTGTCTGCTCAACCGCTTCCCTGGGTAGAAAAAAAAGTTGACCCATTTCTGATCCACATCAGATCTGCTAGAAGAATCTAATTCTGAGATTATCTGACAGCGTCTCCAATTTCCCAGTCAATTTCAACTGCAGAAAGCCGCGTTCAGACAGTTCTCACTTTACCATTTCAGAGGGACACGTCAGCACAACTTTTACCCATCCATCTTTCTAGCTGGAATTCAGAGAAAGACCGGGGTGGAAGGAGATTTCTGCTCTCCGCTCCAGACAGACGTAGCCAGGAACTAAGGGGAGGGGGGGGGGCTTCTCTGCTTTTAGCCTCATGGTGGAATATCTGGTTTGACTCCAAGGGTCACAGCAGCGCAAGGAGACCACAAGAGTGAAGAAAGTCCCTATCTTGAAGGATGACACTTTCATCTTGTCAGAAGGGTAAGGGAAGTTTCCCCCGTCCCGTTTGTCCTTATCTAAAGCCAGGCTTGGAGAGAAGGTCAGAGGAGGCCCAGCAGGGAACAAAGTCGCTGGGACCCCCTGCAGGTTTAGGGCCAGGGGTTACAATGGATTGACAGCTAAAGACTTTCCTTTGGGAAGTCTTATTTATCCCAGATGACACCAGGTAACAAGGCATTCATTCCTGAGTTTGATTGCACAGTGGGAGGGTGGGGAATTCATCAGAAATGGAGCAGAACCTACATGCCTCTCTGTGGTTATCTTCGTTTACATGAGACATCTTGGAAATGTTCTGGAGAACTTCAGTAGACCAGGTGGACAACTGAAAGCCCGGAATATTTTTGCTTGTCTTAGTTGTTTCGCCTTTGACAATCCACATTCTGAAGGGCCTTAATGAAGCCAGGTGCTCGGTTGTGTTTGCTCATCGGGTCCTCCTCTGCAGAAACTAACTCCCGCCTTCCTTTTGTGACCTTGTCCTCGATTTCCATGAATCTGGTCAGCACGGCCATCCTCTTGTATCTGAGTCGCAAGTACAACACCCCAGATCACTGGTACCCGTCTGATCTACAGAAACGAGCCAAGGTGGACGAATACCTATCGTGGCATCAGGCTACCATCCGATCCAATGCTCCCAAGACAATGTGGATCAAGGTGAGCCTTTGAAGAGTACCTGGAGATTTGGGAAGCCTCAGCTTGACCCAGAAGATTTAAGATCTGTCCACAAGTGTTGAAACCTCCAATCTGTGTTCATTATATAATTTGCCCAATACTTCACTTTTTTCTCCAGTTGCTCATTCACGCGCACCCAAGGCAACACTCCCCCTTCCTCCCCCTAAAAAAAATTCTCACCTACAAGATTGCAATCTTCCCCAATCCCCTTATAGAGGGATAAATACTTCTACATCATGTTATAATGTATTTTACTTCTTTCTTTTATTTATTACCCTAACATTGGCAATCAAGTACAGTTAATACAGCCATCCATCCACTTACTTTTAGAGTAACATCACAGTTTGTGACCTCAGTTGCACGAGGTGGCCACTGCTAAGAACCTCCTCCTCCCTGAGACCGCTCCATCTCCACAGGAGCATCCCAAGAACAGAATGTGGCTGGCCTTCCACATGCTCCTGTAGCTCAGTGCTCTGGCCCCACCAAGGCCACGCGGACATCACAAGCAGCTCACCCTGCTCAGCCATCCACAGTTACTTCAGTTTCTTTGGAAAGGAGTGTTGGCTGGTGTCCTCGTGCCAAAGGGACAATGCAGGGGTGCCTCTTCTGGGCAGGCAACCACCCTCAAGCTCCAGCCTACAGCTTACTGAGCTGAGCCCAGAGTTACTGCAGGGGTTACTGGATTTTGTTGCTCAGGATCCAGGC